TGACTAGTCTGAAGAGACACTGGGAAAATCTGAATTTGGTTAAGATGCGAATGTTCAGACGGAGGCAGTGTCTGCAAAACGGACCATCTGCAGGGTAGCCTCACAAGTGATGCATTAGACATAGCACCTATTTCAGAGAAGATAGTCGAAGACAAGATCCATTGGTTCGGCTGCATAAAAAGAAGACCCAACAATTACCTTGGAAATGTGGGCCAAGCACATATTCTGATGCCTGATGCACGGAAGTGTGGACGAAACACTGATGCCAGGGAAAAAGGAAGGAGAAGATAAAAGGAAAAGTGGCGTACTGTTGTGGAATAGCTTATTAAATTGCGAGAAGTGACCAAAGATTTATCCAAAGGCCCAAACTTGTTCAGGCACTTGAGTCGAACAGTGAACCCTAACGAGAAGAAAAGAAAATACATATACAAAGCATATCTCGTGAGGTTCTACAGTATCTACAGTATAGTAGATTTCCAAGTCTTTAAGAGCTATAGCAGAACTTGAAGTGCCTCGATTCCTGGTTGTCTAGTAGGTGCGAGCGAGAGCCGCATATTTCGCCGCAACTCGCTAAGTAATCAACCAAATAATTGAATGAGTTTTAAATCAAAATGCTCTGACTTCTTCACGAGTCCAGAACAAGCTCATGAGGCATCAATATCATTTGGGTTGTTGAGTACTGATGCAAATGAGGCTACTTTCCATAAACTAGTTGTTGATCATTTCCAGGGATTGTTGTTATGAAGACCCTATAGTCGTTAGAGTCACTGCTAATTCTTGAATATATCAACGGATAACAGAATATTATGTTTAACTGCTCATTTGATGTTATCGTATGTAAACAAGAACATACCGAATAAAAGGCGTATTTTTCTCCATAATCCATATCCTAAATCAAAGCCTTATTACGCATCACGCCACAAGCCATCGCGTAAGAAATTTTGTTATTGTTTTCGGTCCTAACGATAGATTGAATTTTCGAAACTGTAACTTTTCAATAACTTAGAAATTCCATAACTGGAATTG